AAACTGCGCAGGCAACTCTTCTCAGATTGTCGCCGCTTAAAAGGGGAAGGGAGGGTTTAGGGTTTAGGGTTTAGGGTTTAGGGTTTAGGGTTTAGGGTTTAGGGTTTAGGGTTTAGGGTTTAGGGTTTAAGCTGGAAAAGTGACCGCGCAATGCAGGAATGGAAACACCTCCACAAGCTCCTGTTCAAAACCCTGCACCGTAATCTCCAAACCCAAAGACCAGAAACCCTAAACCCTAAAATCCTAAAACCCCAAACCCTAAATTTCTTAGGGGCTGAGTACCCTAGCCCAAAAAAGGTTAACCTTTGGAATTGTAGTAGGATTATATAAGCCCCAAAAGGTTAAAGGTTACCTACTCAGCCCCTAAGATTTTGAACAACCAGAAATCCTAGACCCTAGTAAGCCCAGCTACACCAGGCGCCAGCGCTTGCCACCTTCTTGTGATCCCCCTGTCAGCTTCTCCGCAAAGGGTGCCACCTACCAAGGGTTCCATTCAATACATCCTACTTTCGGTCAAAAGGGCGCGGCCTTAATTAGGGTTTAGGGCCTGGGGTTTAGGGCTTTTTGGTTTAGGGCTGAAGGTAACTCCGTCCCGGTCCATATTCTGCAGGTCAGGGTTCCGTAGGCATGTCCATAAGATTTAGGGTTCTGTTCTTTTTGGTCAGGTTTAAAGCTTAGGGTTGCGTGAAGGATTCGGGTGTAGTGTTTTCCGGTGTTTGCACGGGTTTAAGGTTAGTTTGGGGGGTTTCGGACTTCTGGCATTCTGGCCCCGGAAGGATATGGGTAGTTCTCTAAATTAGTCTTCCTTTCTGGGCCCTCAATATAGTACGGCACCCTTATAAAAAGGACCCTAAAAAGGGACCCTAACTTAGAGAACTACCAATATGACCGATACATTTCAAGGGACTAACTCTGAAAACAATCCCTAAACCCTAAACACTAAACCCTAAACCCTAAACCCTAAAAATTGGATCCACCGGCAGGGTTTTTGTTGGAGTCCAAGCCGACTTTGCAGGGTTTTCTCTGCTGCGAGAGCTGGTGATGTGAGGTTTGGATAATATCGGGGCCTTATGATCCAAATAGGGTCTTTGGGTATACTGCACCATAATTACAATAAGGAGCCCACAAAATGCTGTTAATGATACAAATCCCGCATTACCTTAAGGACCCTAAACTATGGGAGTTATGGTATATTCCTTATTCTGGGTAATGCAGGATGTATATCATCAACCGCAGCATATGAAAAGTTTTCGGCCCCTGTATTAAGAAACTCGGGCTTAGATGTGGCTTCCTGGGGCTTGGGATTTTGAGGCTAAATGGGTGTTTCCGAAAATTAGGGGTACCTTTTTTTGGGTCCTTATAATAGGGATCCTACTATTTAGGGTACTATATTAGGGTCCCCTATTTTCGGTAACCCCCAAATGTAGGCGCCCTAAGAATTAGAATAGGGTTTCGGGGCCCATTACACTAGACATTAGACTAAGGAACCCCCCCAAGATGTTATTGGCAACTGTTTAGGCTGCTACATTAATGAAGCAGGGCTGACAGTTTAGAATCTGGGGTTGTGGGCTTTGGGTTACAGTTACAGGTTTAGGGTTTGGGCTTGGGGTACACCTTGAACCCAAGGTGTCAAGCTGAGACGTTACCCCACCACGGCCTCCCTTAAGCTCAATCCTGGGCACTTAACATAGGGGCCTTAATTATTAGAATAGGGTTGGGGGTCTATTTTAATATACATATATATATATATATATTCATTTACGTATTCATCTATTTGTTTATTTATTTATTTATAACAAACAAGCCCAAAACCCTGTTCTAATTATTAAGGCCCCTACATTAATTGTATCTTAATAAGACGATGACCTGCTTCTGTCGCGGGCGCTTCTTGAATAGCTGCTCCAGCCTAAACCCTTAAACCCCTAAACTCCAAACCCTAAACCCGAATCCACATACCCAAAGCCCCATTCCCTAAACCATAATCCCTAAACCTTCTGAAACCCTAAACCCTAATCCCTAAACCTTCTGAAACCCTAAACCCTAATCCCTAAACCTCCTGAAGCCCTAAACCCTAATTCCTACGCCTTCTGAATCCCTAAACCCTAATCCCTAAACCTTCTGAATCCCTAAACCCTAATCCCTAAACTTTCTGAAACCCTGAACCCTAATCCCTAAACCTTCTGAAACCCTAAACTCTAATCCCTAAACCTTCTGAAAGCCTAAACCCTCAACCCGAAAACCCACTCGAAGCGTCTTTTTTTCCGGCTCCAGCCGGAGACCCAGCAGCCGAAGCAAGGAAAGGACTGAGGTCACCAATTCTGGGGTTTAGGGGTTGAGGGTTTTAGGGCTTTAGGGATTAGGGGTTTAGGGGTTTAGGGTTTAGGGGCTTTTAGGGTTTGGGGCTTAGGGTTTAGGGTATAGGGTATGTACATACTCACAGTATTTAGTATCTTGGGCTTAGGGGTTTGGGGCTGAGGGGCTTTAGGCGGATGTATCGCAGCCGGAGGCTGCCAGCTGCGTCGAAAACTGGAATCTCGTTGAGATGGACGCGGTTTCCGCGTTGATTACATGGATTTCCTGACCATACCGGACCACGGCTAGTTCCGTACGTCCATGGTCTCGGCCAGGCTGAGCAATATACACGAACTCACACGGCGAACATGATTTATTCACCGCGTCTTCTCATTACTTTGCAACAAACTCTAAACCCCACCTTAAGAACCCAAAACCCACTTTTTTGTAGGTTCTTATGATAAATCCTAATATGGGATTTATAGGGACCCTACAAACAAGTAGGTTTTGGGTTCTTAAGGCATAACTTTAAATCCTAAACCCCAGACCATAAACCCTTACCCACAGACAGGGAAACCTCAAGCCCTCCCTAAACCCTAAACCCTAAACCCTAAACCCTAAACCCATTCTCAGGGCTCAGGAATGATGATGTTGCCATCCTCTGCCTGAGCGGGTAAAAGGGTTGAGAATTCAGGAGTTCAAGGTTTGGGGATTAGGGTTTAGGGTTTAGGGTTTTGGGTTCAAGGTTTCAGGGTTTAAGGTACGGTTTAGGGCTCTAGATTTTCATTATTGCGGGCTTTAGGCTAGAAGGCATTGGGTCCCTAGGTTCCGAGAGGGACGGCACCAGAAAGGCCAAAACTTTAGTTCACTTTTGTAGGAACCCTTCAACGGACCATCTTGCGAAGAGTTACCAGAAGTCAACAACTGTATAGCGCCCTCAAAGGCATTGCATAAGAGGAGTGACCCTGACTCAACAGCCGTATAGAAACCTGAAAGGAATCCTTGTAGCCTCGTGGGAAACTGTTCACAAGGACTAGCTCTACTACATTCTCATCTACTGGCTAATCTCTAATAAAGAATGAATAAACAAATATATATATATATATATACACATACACATATACATATACATATGTATGTATGTGTACAATACATATATATATATATATATATATATATATATACATCTTGATTGATTGTCTAACCTCCGACAAAAAATCTAATACTGAAGCAGAGCCACTGGAATCTCCAGGCTGCTCGGATGCACGTTCCTTACTTCCCCAAGAAGCCAGGAAAAAAAAAGGTTAAAACTTTCAGGTTACTACTTAATTATAAGACCCCAAACATTTAAAGGTTGCCCTGAGGGTCCATGTACCCAAATAGTAGATACTTTGGCTTTAAAGTAGTCCCTATACAGGTACTTTTGGGGCCAAGGTATATACTATTTGGGTATATGGAATGTTAGGGTTGGGTATTGGAGAACTAAGGTTCCCCTGCCGCGCCAGCTCCCAGGCTTCCGGGTCCCAGCGCTCGAAAGCTGTGCTGCACGCCGGGGCTACCTCAAAGTTTTAGGGACTTAGGGGTTCAGGGGTTTAGAGTTCAGGGGTTCCTGTGCGGGTTCCTTATAAGGGCTATAAGGCATCAGGGTTTAGGGTTTTACGTTTTAGGGTCTAGAGATTCGGGGGTTTAGTCTGAAAAGCTTTGCAGAGCTAAAGGAAAAGGTTTGCAATGGACTTCCTTGAGCAGAGCTCAGCAGAGCATTGGATATCAACAACCTCTTGCTAAACCACACACACAGAACCCTGTAAGACCACATCAGAGCCCCATAGGGAATCGGGTTCACCCTAAGGGTCCAAGTACCCAAATAGTAGGGTTTCAAGGTCTAAAAACCACTCAGAGTATGGATTTTGGGACCTAAAACCTTACTATTTGGGTACTCGGACCCTCTGGGTTCAGGGTTTAGCAGAGTAAAGCCGAAGCCACATTCATTGCTCGCGCGCTGAAGGCAAAGGCACCCGCAGAGAGACCAGCACAAGCTTGCACACATGCGGCTGTTGGGTTGAAGTCCCCGACCACCTGTGTCGGGTTTAGGGTTTAGGGTTTAGAAGTTTAGGGTTTAGGGTCCAGGGTGTTCGAAGTTCTTAGTAATTAGCCCTAAACCCTAAACCCTAAAACCCTAAACCCTAGAGTAAGGGTTCCTGTGAGGGTTTATTGGGTATCTATTTAGGAGGGTCCGGGTTCATCTGCACTCTAGCTTTTCCTATGAACCCTAAACCCTAAACCGCAAAACTAGGCCCCCCCCAACCCTAAACCGTAAACCCTAAACCCAAAAAAAACTGAAAGCTTTTGGGACTTAGGCCAACAACGGGACTATATGTGGCATGCTTAGGGTTTAAGGTTTAGGGTTTAGGGTTCAGGGCCGAGGATTGCCCACTTATCAGTGAACCCCAGAAATCCTAAACCCTAAACCGTCCACGGTGCCTGGACGCAGGCGATAGCAGCAAGAGAAAAGGCGCGCATGGAGATAGACAGGCCGAGCAAGATGGACATGACGTCGATGGCACAAACTCGCGGCTGCCTCTCGAGAGATTTCCACAAGCCTCTCCTAAGTTAAAAACTAAACCCAAACCTTACGCCCCAAAGCCCTAGAGACCCGAAAAACTCAACCTAAATACTGCACTTCCAAGCCCGACAGCTCTACCGTAAATCGCAGTGTAACAGTACCCCTGTATAAAACTTCTCCACAAACGAACAAAGCCCAACTACCCAAACAGTAGCGCTTTCGGTAACTCTCATGTTCGGACCGAAAACCCCCGCACTAGTTCCGACGGTTTAGGGTTTAGGGTTTGGGTTTAGGGTTTAGGGTTTAGGGTTTAGGGTTTCAGTTGGGTAGTTGGACCATCGGAGAACCGTCAATCCTACACCCTAAACCCCTATAGAAAAATCTTTGCAGACAAGAAGAAAAAGCGCCTGTGGGAGAGGTTTTGGTGTATTTTCCAGGAAAACTATATGGAGCTTAAGGGAATACTAGCCCTAAGGCCTAAACCCTGAGCCCTAAGCCCTATAAAGCACAAAACCTAAATTCCTAAACCCTAAACCCCCTAAACCCCCTAAGTCCTAAGGCACAAACCCTTAATTCCTAAACCCGAAAATTCTAAACCCTAACACCCCCTAAGTCCTAAGCCCTCACGCTTCGCAAGACGCGCGTCCTGCCACTCTCTTCAGGACTGCACTCGGTACTGGTCTCCGCTAGCACTAGCGCCAGCCTTGCAGCGAACTTCGCGATTCCGGGGCTTCAGGGTGTAATGGAAGAGTCTAGGGTAGATAAGGCCCCATAGTCGTTCCTTTTTTGGGCTCATATTTAGAATCCTATTCGGTAATCCCAAAAAGGAACTACTATGGGGCCTATGGGTAGATTGTGTTTTCGGGTTTTGCGTTCAACAGAGGTGCTTCAATAATGAGGATAGGATTTGGGACTATATAGAGCTTGGTTGGTTTAACTAAACCATGGAAACTTGGAAATATTTGGGCTCAATCTACGGGCCTTCGGTTTTGCGCGGTATAGTAGAGTATAGTAAAAGCATATGTGAACGGATCGGACAGGGGACATTTGTACGCTAGGGTTTAGGCGAACTGTTTAGGGTCTAGAGTTCCTATTGTAAGTTTGGGAGCCTGGCTCCATAATGGTGATGTAAATAAAGTAAAGTCCACCGACATGTCCAACAGAGTTTTTTTTGCGTTTGGTAGGTTATTTTACTAGAACTCTATGAGTAAATAAAAGTCCAAACAAATAATACAAAATGGTTAAACAAATAAACAGTTGACTCCATATAAATAGAAGTATACAATCAATATATATATATATATAACTATTATATATATAACTATTATATATATATATTAACATGTACTCAGGAACCCTAAAAACTGAAAGACTTTTTTCTTCAGGCCCCTATATCAAGGAACCCTCTGTATCCTGATCCCATGGCCTGACCACCTGCGTCGTCCCAAGGTTGGTGAAAGAGACACAGCGCGAAACCGCAGCGTAGACCTTACTTGGGGGTTCATGGGTAGTTAAAAGTAAGGTTATATGTAGGACAACTACATAATATAGGTATAACCCAAATTACAGCACTTATACCTCTACTTGTAACTACCCATGAACCTTCAAGTGCTTACTCAAACGGTCCTCAGCTCCTAGAATGTAGGATTTAGGGTTTGTAGTAGAATGTAGGGTCTAGGGTTTAGGGTTTAGGGGCAGCGTAGACCTTACTTCCTGTTTGCCCGTTTTCCTGGGGAGCTGAAGGTTAACCTTTGGGATTGTGAGGGATTATAGTAGCCCAAAAAGGTTAAAGGTTACCTACTCTACTACTACAGGGCTTAGGACCCAATAACTAGGCACTCGGGTTTGGGATAGTAGTTTGTAGTTATGTAGGGTATTATTTTGGAGAGTACATGATCGGGAAAAAAACTCCTAAAACGGATACTGCCCATAAAGAACTACAGAGAACCGCTATAATTCCCTCGCATGGGACCTTGAGCAAAAAAAGCACGTGGATCTGCCTGTCGACAGAATTGCACTAAGGTGTGGACGGTGCTGGACGGCACCGCTGGAGGAGCGGGCAGCTCTGCCACGGTCACCCCGGCATTCTTGATCGCTCTCCTGGACGAACATCCGAAGCTCCACGGTTAGTTCTGCACTTAAAGGGTTTCTGTTTATCCAACCCTCCCGGAACCCTAGACCCTAAATCCAAAACCCTAAACCCTAACTAAGCCAGAAACCAGTAACCCTAAAGGGTTACTGCTAAACCGTATAAAGACGCTACGCCGCTAAGCCAGAAACCTGCTACCACATCATCGAGGCGAGTCTCTGTGCGCTCCACACTGCCCGCTGCTTCTTCCTCTCAAGTCGAGCCCTAAACGCTAAACCCTAAACCCTAAACCAAAACCGTACACCCTAAACCCTAAACCCTAAACCCTACA